TTGGCAGGGAATTACCTAAAGTGCTGTTCAAAGAATATCGTGCTCAATCCCCGCGATAAAAGCAATTCGTGTGGTAGTTTCCCACGAACGTAATGCTTTCCTTACAGGACCACTGCCGCGCGCGATACACCCTTCGGCGACTTTTGTCTAAGCAAAAAGAGGGGTCGGGAGATTTGCCGCGTGCGTTACACGTTGGGGCAGGTTATCAGGATGGCACTGGAGACCGCCATGCAAAACAACCGTTTCCCCATTTCATGAATATCTGGGATCTAAATTGGCCCTGTCCATTCAAATCCTGCAACTCACCATAACTTCACTAATGCGTTATGACAGCGAGCAAGTTTCATATTCATAAGCAGTATACTTGTGAACCGTTACAGGCAAGGTTTTAAGCAAATCTGGAACTTCGACCTATCTACACCCACGGTAACCCAAGAAAATGCACTATCCTGCGAAATCAGCATGATATTCATGTTCAGCGCGCTAAATTACCACCCTAGACAAAGTTTGAAGCAAATCTAATCTTCGATCCCATGCCATATAACCACCACAACTCTATGAAAAGGTCCCAATATGCAGAGAGAGAGAGGATATTTGTAATTAGCATGTCGAACAAACCATATGGACCGAACTCCAGCCGAATTCATGATTTTGACTTCCTAGCGTACACCTATCGTAACCACATGGGGAGACTTTCTGCGAGCAAAGTGTGATATCTGTAATCAGCATGTAGAGATAACCCTTATACACGAATCTGAGCAAGCTCTAGGGCAAAAAAATCTTGGGGCCCGGTAAGCCGAATAGCGCCAAACTAATATCGAACTCGTAATCAGCATGCTCGATTACCCCCCCCCTGTGCAAACTCCCAGTCCCCGTAGCTCAAACTTTGCAAAAAATCGACAAAATCGATAAAAATAATGGACGATTTCAAAAACTAATATTGTATTCGGAATCCCCATGCTCGAATACCCCCCTGTGCAAACTCCCAGCCCCGTATCTCAAACTTTGCAAAAAAAAATCGATAAAATCGATAAAAGTAATCGATAATCCTGAAAACTTATATTGTATTCGGAATCCCCATGCTGGCTTACCCCCCTGTGCCAACTCCCAGCCCCATAGGTGAACAGCAAAAAAATCGATAAAAATCGATGAAATCGATATCGATCGATGACGAAAAGTAGCCTATGACACCCGCCGGGGCCCGAAGTGTATGTGTGCCAAGTTTGGCCCGGATCGGTTCAGAAATAGAATTTTCTATACGGAACATACGTACAGACATACAGACATACAGACAGACAAACAGACATTCAGCTTTATATACAGGGTGTCCCAAAAAGATGTGCACACTGTTTGATCGTTAATAACTCTCTTGCTTTCGTGTCTTTTGTCGAGTTTAAAGCACCATTCTATAGAGCGAGGTTCAACTTAGATTTATAGTGTGGAGCAAATCACCAATCACTTTTCATTACTGTAGGATTACGGTATGAACTTCGAAGAGGATTTTAAGCCATTAAAGGGCGCAATTTGCCTCAGAAAGAAAGCCAAACAAGCCAGAAACTCTCAAACTGGGCTAATTGAAGGTGCTGATTTTAAATATGAAGTTTGCATTTTAGTATAGTGCTTCTTTCATAAGTTATTTCAGATTAAGAGTAAAAATTGTTTTCCCAATGTCGCTCAAAAATGTGAATACACGAGCAAGAAAGTTCGAAAAATTGATGAAAAGTTATGTACTGAAATCAGCACGCCTGAAAATCTTAATACACAGATTTTCAGATTTTTTTGAAATTATTTTATCACAAGGCCTATTCCACAGTGACGCTGTATGTTGGAAGTTCATACCGTAATCCTACAGTAATGAAAAGTGATTGGTGATTTGCTCCACACTGCAAATCTAAGTTGAACCTCGCTCTACAGAATGGTACCTTGAACTCGGCAAAAAACCTGAAAGCAAGAGAGTTATTAACGATCAAACAGTGTGCACATCTTTTTGGGACACTCTGTATATGATGCTGCAACACCCGGAAATTGAATTTTCATAGTTTTTTTTGGCGAAAAAAGATTTTTTAGGTTTTCTCAAAGTAGCATTAGTGTTTTCCACATTATCGGGTCTTAGGTCACGCATAAGGTACAAAGATTCAGAAAGGCTGGTGGCGGGTTTTGAATTTGAACGTCCTTCTTTCTTTGGTCTGTCTTTGATCAGACAAACATGACTCTGTGGAAGTAGAGACTCGAACAAACATCATTTTTTGGGCCCTGTCATTGAACTTTCCCTTGAACCTTCCAAAGTTTGCATAAAACTTCTGAAACTTGCTGCTTAAGCTCTGTTTCTTCTTGCTTTGTGTCTTAGCAGCGGGTAGGGGAACGAAAGCCGCCAGCTTCGGTCGCCTGCGCGGACTGCTGGTCCTGGAACGGCATGCAACAATGTTGCGAAAGTACCAGTTGGCCGCGAAAGGCGGTTCAAACTGGCGGCTTTCGTTCCCCTACCCCTTAGCAGCTGTCTAAGAGAGCCTTACATTCGATACGATAGTGTGTAAACTGTTAGGAAAATTTTTTCTCGATTTGCCTGGTACATGTTGAATGTGATAGAAGTCTCAGTCAGATTGCGAGCTTGAGAGCAGATGGCCGAAATAAGTCATCTTCTAGAGGACATATTTTTTGTAAAAAAAAAACTGTTGCCGGAAACTAATGTTTTATATGGATGTTCTAGAAGCAACAACATCCTATACGTAGAAAACATCGAGAAGTAAGAGTGTAGGTGCCAGAGTAAAGCAAGATCTTCAGTGTTCGCGGCAGCTGTGAAAATTATGATAGTTTGATGGGCATAGGGTGTTTCAAATCCATGTTGAAAAGCGGCTTTTTTCATTAGACCAAAACATATCCATCAAAAATCTTCTGTAGACAGCCCCGGTATCAAGTTGGCAAATATCAAGCTAAGAATCGTTTTTTTGAGGAAAAAGCAAAGGGATATCGTAATAATATAATACATTTATCGATTAGCTGCTATATGGCATGTTTAACGGTCAACTCGCGCGTCACCTTCAAAAATCTCAATTTTTTCCTTCCATTAGTAATCAACGGCCTCATTTACGGCACACATAAGAACATAATTGCGAATTGAGTACAAACGAACAGATTTAGGAGAAGCACAGTGTCAAGTATGTTGAAAATATTACGTGAATGAAAGCTGTAGAAAGCTTCTTTTCTGAAACGTTCCCACTGCTGAAAAATGGAAAAATGTCTCGTTTGCAATGCATAGGATGATATGGCTCGAAATTTAATGCACGGTGGGACTAAGCAACAATGGAAGAATTATGAAAGCAGATATGAATAAAAAGGAGCTTTACTTTATTAAATAGATGGGCATTGCCCTGCCCACCCGAGGTAGGCAGAACTTCTATTTCACATAAGTGTTTCAAAAATCCTACATAAGATTTTATGTATACAGTAACATTTTGGTTCCAAAACTCCTTCTTTTTTCTTGTTAGGGTCCGAGATAGCAACGCCGCCGCTTCTCTTATGGTAGGGAAGACAGCGCGCTTCACATGAATAATCCGCGTAGTGGTCGCGACAAGTAAGATCGTAAAAGTGGCAAGTGGTAAAAGCAATTTCGTTTCAGAGATATTTAATTGCCACCCTCGTGCCTAGTCCTTCTATGGACTACTTAATCATTGAATAATCCTCGAGATTTTCGCTATTTACAGATGACTACTGCGTAGATAGGACTGGCAGGACAGTTCTTTTTTCAATCTTTCTTGTTTAAAAAGAAGACATTTTCGAAAAAGCTCTGCAAAATTTTTGAAATCTCGCTTCTTTTTTAACAGTTTCATAGTACCTTTCCGTTGACTAAAAGTTTGCACAACTTCAAGAAGTTGAGTTTAAAGGCTGCTGCATGACGAAGGCGCAATGGCGATATTGGTTGAGCTTGCGCAACGCGACGCGCGCGTCTCCTCACCGTTGTAGAGCCCGCACCTCATGCGCTCTGCGGCTAATAAAACCGCGTTCGCGCCCGAAGATATTGCGCCTTCGTCATGCAGCAGCCTATACTGAAAAAAGTACACAATGTGAAAAAAATTACAACATTTTGAATTTGAAAACTTCAACAAGGACAAAACTTATGCAGCAAGCTAGTATGCCTGCATCAGAGATTATTTCAAGAACAGAAGGTACGGAGAAGGAAAAAAATTGGTTAATAGCTTACACTTCCATAAAATTCTGTGAATGCTGTCTTTATTATAGACAGAGTGGCAAAACAAGAGGTTTGACTTGGAGAGCTTACTTACATTTTAGATCTTTCTCGTTTGGCTCTAGGTACGACCACTACGTGACACTTAACCCCACTTTGACGAAAATTTCACAAATCTCACCTTTTTTTATCATTGGTGTACGAATATGGACTGAACTTGTCAAATAAGCCCAGAGTGATGCTAGCCAAAACATATGCAGCTGCTATGCAAAGCCACACTGGCCATTCTAATACCTCAAGAGTTTTTAATGAAAAAAGTCCATAAAACTCAATCCCCACTTGCGTGAATCTGAACGGAGAGTATTGCAAGTTTGGTTTCTTCATCAGAATTGTTCCACCAACGAGCTTGTAGTATGGCATTGTGAAGTCAACAGCAATTGCCCGTTCAGCAGTCGTACTGAGAGTTGTCAAAGCGATGTCCGCGGAACCCGATACTTAATTCAAAATGCAGATGATTTGAAAAAGATCACAAATTTGAAGAAAATTCTAATGATAAACTGCAAGGTAAGCATTACTTCAAGCTGCTAATAAAAAGTTTGTGTTCGAACTACTAAGTCATCGATAGCGAGAATTTTTGTACAACTACAAGCTCTTACATACTTCAAATAAGATGCCTATGGAATCATTGATCAGCACTAACCTAAAGCGCCCATGACACCGTTCCAGTTGCCAGCCTGGTCAAGTGTCCCAAACAAGCCATCTTCCACCTCGTATATAGTATATGTGAAATTCAGTTAAAAGTGAGAAATTACTCCGGCTAAATTCGCAAACCAACGACCTCTTTGCTAATCTCTTCGAGGAGATCAATGCAGACACCCTCGTATGGTTTTTCGGGATTGCCGCTCAGTTGTATAAATGGTGGCTGCTAAAAATGGATCAAAATATGTGTACACCAAGATGTAGATGTGTACAAGATGATGCATAGTGCATGACCTTCTTTCTTAACACATTGACGACCAAAGCCTTCCTCGGACCAGCCAACATTTTCTAGATAAAATCACGCACAATTTCATTTGCAGTACATCTACAGTAGCGTTGGAATGCTGGCAGAAACAATAGAGGTTGTATCTAGATTCAGCATAAAAGAAAATTCCCAGAGTTGATTTGAAACAAATTAATAGCCATTTCAATAGGAGTCATGGTGTGTCAAGCCTTGACACACCATGTGTGTCAAGCGGTCGTCAATGTGTTAATATACTATACTTATTATAGGCTGGAGATTTGGTGTTTTCGCTAAACATGGAAAACTATAGTTTGAGGGAAAAGCAGAAATAATCAAAAGGGGCCTTAGATCTTCTGTTCTCGCTTGCTTTACTAGCTAGATCCAAGTTATGCCAAAAAATTTGAATGTGAGAAAAAAGTAACAAAAAATTGAAGAGGACCCGGGCTTTGCCTGGATGATATTTTTAGGTCAACAATAGATGATTTCCTTAGTGATTTGATTAGTTTCTGTGAAACGTTTTCTGGTCGCATACTGTTGCTTCGGCAGCTGTTATACTTTGCAACGAAATCCATAAGTCATTTCTCACTGCATGTGTTTCCAACCTTCTATGTCCACTTTTCCCTAGCTTTCAAAAACGTTATTTGAGACTTCAAGAAGATTTTGTATAGATACCAGATAGGGGAGCCTTTTGCAAATTATAACAATTCCTTTCTTCTTCAAATTCGCTTTCAAAATTTTGATAAATAATCTTCCAAAAGCCTTAAGTTTTAGAAAAATCGCATAACACTTATTGCACCAAACACCGCAAAATCTTCAGATACAAAGTAAATAAGCAATTTTCGCTTTATAATATAATATTTCGAAACTAAGGGTGCGCCAGGTGCGCGTAAGCGCGCCAGACATTGAAAAACATTGCAATTTCTCCGCAAATTCCTCGTCTTTCGCCAAAAGAAAACAACTGTAAGAAAGCAGAGAAAAAATTTGCATTGATTGGTACTTGAATTATCCAACATTGATGTGCTTCGAGGTTGATTAGGCTAAATACAAAATTTGGTCACTTCAAGAAATACAGGGTGTCCCAAAAAGATGTGCACACTGTTTGGTCAACAATAACTCTCTTGCTTGGAAGTCCTTCGCCAAACTTAAGGTACCATTTTATAGAGCGAGATCCAACTTAGATTAAGGCTATGGAGCAAGTCTCCGGTCTTTCTTCGTTACTGAAGGATTACGGTAGGATTTTCGAGAAGGATTTCAGACCTTTGAAAATAATTTTTGCCTCAGAAAGAAAATCAAACAAGCCAGAAACTCTTGTACTGAACTAATCAAAGTTGCAAGTCTTACATATAAAGTTTGCACTTTATTGTAATGCTTCTATCATAAGTTATCTCAGGTTTAGGGTGACATCTTTTTAGTGTTCAAGAATTGTGTTTGCATTACTAAAAGAGCTCAAAAAAACTGGTGAAAAGTTGTCTAGTGAAATCAGCACCCCTAGAAACCTTGCTACACAAGTTTTCAGATTTTTTGGGATATTTTTCATCAGGAGGCCTATTCCACACTTGCGCTTCAGGAAAGACACTTGGAGTCGAATCTTTTACCTCGTAAGGGAGTCGAATTTCTTACTTCTAAGCTATTTTGTGGTAGGAAACATGTTTGAGAACTGCGAAAGAATTGTTCAACTCCCAATTTCTGAGTCGACCTTCTCTAGGTAATGATAACGAATGCAACCCTCATCGTTTTGAGTCACATACTGCAAAGGATAGCATTTCCAACACTACGTTTCTCTTATCGATTCAAACATCAGCAAATTTGATTGCTTAGGTTCATCAAAGCTTCATTATGTTGATAAACTCCAGAAAAGATTATGTTCTGAACGTACAGAAATACGTGAATACGTTTCATCAAGCGTAAATATTCCTACAGTTATGCTATATTCCTGAAAGTGTTAAATAGTTACATAGCTTTACTGAGTAATGGTGAGAACGAGTTCTGGCTTGTTTCATTGCGATAAAGCATTATTTTACCCTAATGCTCCAACTTTGCCTGCGATGCGTGCAAATATGGCAAACCATCAAGATAAGGGTTGGGTCTGTCCGAAAGTTTGTGCCGTCATTTAGACCAATCCTAAAACCCCTCAGAATAACGATAAACAAACGTAAACAAACACTCTGAACAATGTTTGATGCAGATTTTCTTCCTTTTTGTAACACTTTTGTCATCGTTCCGACATTCGTGATACTCGCTCCAAAAAAAATTTATATCTTTAATATTTCTGAAAGTGTTGAACAGTTACATAGCTTTACTCAGTAATAGTGAGAACGAGTTCTGGCTTGTTTCATTGCGATGAAGCCTTATTTTACCCTAATGCTCCAACTTTGCCTGCGATGCGTGCAAATATGGCAAACCATCAAGATAAGGGTTGGGTCTGTCCGAAAGTTTGTGCCGTCTTTTAGACCAATCCTAAAACCCCTCAGAATAACGATAATCTAACGTAAACAAACACTCTGAACAATGTTTGATGCAGATTTTCTTCCTTCTTGTAACACTTGATCGTTCCGACATTCGTGATACTCGCTCCAAAAAAAATTTATATCTTCAATATCCAGGGGTTACCCACCCCGCATTTAGCTATTTTGAAATTTTTCCTTTTAACTTCCGAAAAGTCTCGATGACGGTTAGAGAGAGTAAACAAGATGCAGTACAATGCAGTTCTTTTCTATAGTTGGCCTAGAAAATTTTCCCGTGCTATCAATGTCCGTATTTGGACATCCCAACCTCATAAAACATCGAACGGCGATAGGCTGCCAATCGATGCAGTTTTCTCCTCTTCCTATATGCTGCTTTTCCTTCCGATTTGTGATGGCTGATGAATCATCGATTCGTGTTTTTAAACAGCAAGCTATACCCAGAGAAATCAAAGATGATATTTCAAAGCGGTAAACGCTCAGATGCTTACGACCTCGCAAATTTAGCTACTATTCGGAAGGATTGTTTCGAAAGCTACTGAAGAGCCAATTAAAGAGGCTCATACAATTCAGCGTATGTATTACTTTACATACTTTACTTAGATGGCAGGCTTCGCCTGACGTGCGGGTGCCCCAGCACAAAGTTTCCATTTCCCCTTCACCTTCGCTCAAGACATCTACGATCTATTGTTGATATCGATCTATGTTGATTGATGGCTGCGTCTAGAGTTCCAGGTGCGAAATTCGTATCCAGCTAATCTCTTAGCTAATCCATCCGTCTCACGAACGTGTTTGCCCATCTCGTTGGAGTTCTTTCTTTATGTCCAATCATCTACACTGCACTCAAGCGCTGTGCGATTGGTCGTAATTCGACAGTTACAGTTCGGCCCAAGTCTCAGTTGCATAACAGAGCGTCGGGAGAACGGTTAAGTCGAACAGGTGTGTAGAAGCCTCGAATCCGTCATTTAGTCGGTGGCTTCCTTCAGAGGCTCGAAGGTGGCCCACTCTGCTCTTCTTCTCCTATTAAGTTTTTCTCCCTCAAGTCGTTGAGTCTTATTCCGATTTACTCGCAATCCAATCTTTGACCCTACTTCGTTCAGTTCCTTCAGCTCGTCTCCGCTTTAGGATACTGTTCGAGAAGAGAACGAAGTCGTCAGTAACGAAGGTTCGACAGAAATCTCCCAAAAACTCGTATGCCTTCATTGCAAGGCCGCTGTGAAGAGCTTCGGCGAGATTGTGTCGCTTGTCGGATCCCTTCTCAAACGTGATGTCCGAGGGGGGGGGGGGAAGGGATGAAACAGATGCATCGTCGTTGTACAGTCCTTGTAGCAGTCGGCTAACGTCCTACGTAGACTGTGTTAATTCCTTGATCGACTAGCGCAAACAGGATGGCTTTGGTTCCGACGCTGTCAAAGGATTGAGCTGCATGAACCACATCCAAAGGCTTTCTCGTACTTGACGAAGGATAGGACGAGAGGTCAGTACTCCCAGCAGACTTCTATAACCTCGAAACCGCCTGGATTTGGTCCATGCAGCTCAATCCTTTTCGAAATCCAGCTTGTTCTTGGAGTTGGGCTTCATCCAGTGTTCTAGGCACGCGGATAATTTCGTGAAAAGCTTGTACAGCGCACTCAACAGGCATATTGGACGATACTTCCGAATAGCCTTCCGTTCACCCTTCCTGAAATGAGGGACAGTTTCTAACATTTTCCACTGGTCGCGACTCCTTCCCTTCTGAAGATAAAATATTAGTTGACGCGAGAATCTCGTGTAGACATTGTCATCCGGCTCGCAGAAATTCGACGGAAAAATGGTCTGGTCTTAGAGCCGTGGACGTCTTCATGGTTTGAATCGCCGCGCGCACTTCAGCAGGGATTTGTGGTGGTATCTCTCCTGCGGGAACAACGGGCATCGGCACGAGTGTTGATGAGTGGAAGAGTTTGTGTAGAAGTTCTTCGCCACAAAATCTTATGTGCAATAGAAGTCGGGGTCCCGTTTTCGTTCGATAGTGCAGCTATGATTTTGCTGCAAAGCTGTTCTGCAACTGGCTTTGGCTATCAGTCGCTTGAGGTGAATTGCACTCGAATCTTGCCTCGGGGATTTTTTTCTTTCGAGTAATTTCTTGGAACTCTTCGAAGTGCGTCGAAAGTTTTTCTCGAAAGTCACTGAGGCGCACTCTCCGCAGGCTCGCAATTTTTTCAGAAGCCAGTCGTAATCGTACGTTTGGCCCTCTTCGATGGCAGCCACAACTTGATGTGAGCTCTTCCAACCCGTTACCGTTATAAACGACATTCTTTCTTCTTGCAATAATGTGGCAGACGTTCTTCTCCAGCTTTCGACTGAATGGTATCTTCGCTCAAAGGAGGTAATGATCGAAGCCACTGCAGAAGGGGTGCAACTACTGAGACATCAAGCAAGCTCACCTTCGCTCAGATAATCGCCGGGGCAGGCAGCCATGCG